CACAATTTTATAATTTAATGATGTTTTATAACATAATAATGTAAAAAGTACAAGGAAAACAATAATTTTGTAATAATATTATATGATCAGATATATATTGTTTAAAAACCATTGCACCTTACCTAAAATAAAATTTTTAATTATTTCTGATATAATAAAATTTTTCCTCTTTTAACTCTGTAATATATTATTTTTATATTTTAATTTTGATAATCAGTTATCAAATATTTAATGATTTCATATTTGACATATTAAAGACACAAAAATAGAAACATTTATAATTTTACTTACAATATTTGTAGACACGATTAAAGCATTCAAGAGAATATTGATGTAATTTCTATATTTATATTGTTCACATTTCTATAATTTTTAGCCCAATGTCAAGCCTTGATATTACTAAATCATTTTCTATCAAGTTATAAAAAGAAATTAATTATATCTTAATTGTAAAATTAATCGCACCTGCAATATTATTATTAATTGATAAATTATTTATATAGGAATAATGGATGAAGTTTTGAGAACTCATCATAAAAAAAACAAGTATTTTATTCACTATTGCTTTTGGCAGATAAAGCTTAATGTTTTTTTACAAAGTAATCATTTATCCTAAATTTTAATACTAGTAGTTATTATTTTTATAATTTTTAACATGTTCTCCTCTATTTTAAAATTACTTTTATGCTGAAAATGCTTTATTTATATTTCTTTGTATAAATTATCTGTATTCATATAATTAATTATTTAGACATTAAAAATTTGTCTTATTTTGGTACATAATTAGAATATTATTTAGGATACATGCTTCTTATATAAGTTTTTTATATTCATTAAATATAAAAAGAATTGTAACATTCAGCTTAAAATAATATGCAGAACTCGTAATAATTTCTTACAATGTAAGGACAAATTAGTTTATTGATGTTTACATAATATATCAGTTATTAGCTATTAATATATTTGACAGTTTCTCAAATGACATTTAGCTATTAATTTTATAATTAAATACATATTTTAACACAATAATATTTTGTTCGTCATCTTTATTGAAAAAGTCTATATTGAAAAGTTTCAAAAATATCTTACAAAATAAAATTTGTGATATTTGATAATACTTAAACATTGCAATGTAGAAAACCTGTTTCCGATTTTTCTGTTTCTGACATAACTTAGATTTATTTTACTTTTATATTCAAAGTTTAAAGATTGTCTATCAAGATATAATCTGTCGTTTTTAATCGCGATAAGATATAAAATTAATATCACATTTAACATATAACAACATACAGTTAATAAGAGGTTACTTGTATACAAGTGTAGTAAGTTTCTATATACAGTGGTGCCCCCTTAACTGTTGCAGGCATTTAATGAGAAAAGTAGGTATTCCAGGAATTACTCACTGTTATCTATTTCTAACTCACTTGTGAAATAGTAGTTAAACAGTAAGAACGAGTGAAATAAAGTGAAATATTCTTTAGATGATACTTAATTTTATGTTACTGTCTTTAGAAAATTATTCTAATATTCAGAATCTGAAATTGTATGTAAACCAACTATTTTATGGTATCATTAAATAATAAAGAATACATATCTATAAAAATAACAAAAGTGTTAGGACTATTCAACCACCAAGTTATGATACAATATAAGCGTAGTTTCAAATATTTTTTAACACTTTCCTGTAGTAAACACCCAGAAAAGAAGGCCTTGACACAAAATCGTGTGATTCTGTTGTCTGATTGTGTATGGCATTTTGCTTCTTTGCAGATATAATAATTAATTTATTATAAAATCACGTTGTAATATATATGTATATATATTATACAATTATCCATACTGTGTTATAACTTCTGGATCTTGTTTTTTATCAGAAATCTGCAGATTGTATATTACGTCAGTAAAAAACAGCTAATAATAAATGATAAAGAAATTTTTTGAATCATGTCATCACCATTTAAATACAAATTAATATCTAAATCAACAAATCAGGTATTTTATAAGCACAAACCAGATGAAAATATAAAATTGTCCGAATCCATCGTAGAAGAAGCATCCACTTCTGCACGAAAAGAAGAAACGACAGTTGCAAAACGTTTAGAAATTCTACAGAAATTAGAAAAAGGTGTAACAATTGATGAACTTGCTATGGAATATGGTCTTCATAAAAGAACTATACAACGATATCGCAAGAATATCGAATCAATCCGAAAATTTTCAAAAAATCCAAGACGCTTGGTTATGAAAAGAAATCGTGTGCCTTTACACGAAAATATAAATATTCAATTGTTTGAATGGATTTTGGAAAAACAAATGAAAGGGGATGTTTTTACCGACAGTCTTCTGCAAGAAAAAGCAAAAGAATTGCATAACAAATTTGGTGGGTCGACAAATTTTACGGCAAGTCGAGGTTGGCTATGGCGTTTTAAAAAAAGATACAATATAAATGGTTCGGATGTTCATGAAAAAAAATCTGAGATAGATGAATTAACAAAGAAAAAATTAATAAAAATATTAAGCGAGGAAAATGTCGATAAGGAAAATGTATATAACATTCACGAAACAACTGTAACGTGGAGAGTTCTTCCGCAAAAAAAGTTATTAGGGAAAGAAGAAGAATCGGTGCAAAACAAAAAAAGGCAAGATTATGTAACTATAGCCCTTTGTGCCAATGCTACGGGTACATACAAATTACCGCCACTTTTTGTCAATAAGTATATTACTCCGCAAACTTTAAAATATAGTAAACATACGTTGCCGGTAATTTATACTAGTCAAAATAGTGATTTTATTGACGATGTTATTTTCAATGATTGGTATATCAACCATTTTAAACCCAATGTAAAAAAATACCAACAACAGAAGCATTGTGAGTATTGTTATTCGTTGACAATTTTAAAGGTCATATATTTTTTGAGCAAGAACATCAAGATTCTTATTTCAAATTAATAGTCTTATCATCTGATACATCTTCAGTTATACAACCAATGAGTGAGGGCATAATTATAAATTGTAAAAAATTATTCCGTTAGAAGTTATTTAATCGAATCCATCAATACGATGATGGTATAATAAAATTTTATGGCAATTACGATATAAAAGACTGTATTGATTTAATTAGTGAATCTTGGGACGAAATAACAGTAACAGACATCGTAAATTCTTGGAGAAAACTTTTAGATCAGCAAGATTCCGAAATTATTATCAAAGAAGAATTAAAACAACTCTAAGAAAATATTTTTTCTGAAAAAATATCGGAATGGGTCTCACAATGTAAAGAGGAAGAGTCAAGTACTGAAGAAATCACGCAAGAAGAAACAAACATAGATCACCATTGTTCGATAAAAAGAGAAGAAATTGACCGTATGTTTCATAATTTGGAAATTTGGGCTCAGACGCCGCAGCCTGATTTTATTAAACTATATGCGAAGGTTTTAATACAATATCATAATCGACAATAGTATTGTGTATAATAAAATAAAAATTTACTGATTAAAGTCTGAAATATTCTTGTGTACAATTTTTTATCATCATTTTTACTTTTTTATGTTTGATAATTTTATCCTATAGAAAAAAGATTAATTATTTATGTCAAAAATAAATTAATTAAACAAATTTCTTAATTTTAATTTCGCGAAGTAGTACTTAACTATATGTTCCCATTTTATGTCCTATATGCCTTTCCTTGTTTTTGTGCTTTATCGTATTTCAGTAATAAAATTAAAATTCAGATACTCTTGATATTAATTGTTTTTACCTATAAATACTTTAATATCTTTTTATAGAAAATCAAGAAATGTATCTATTGGTGTAAAAATTACGTAATATATCTATTTTAATTTTTATTTATATAATAATTACAACTCCACTTATTATAAACGGTTGGATTATTTCTACTATAGTTGGTTACTTACTTACTGTGAAATAGGAACATTTTAATATATAAGATTGTTACTTAATATTAGAATCTAAAATTTTTCTCTTCTTTTTTATAATAAAAAAATGTTTTGGGTAGAAAGTACTAATCATGAAGGAACATACATCATACTAAAATAAATTTATTATTCTAATCATAATTTAAAAAATTTCAACCTTCTTTTATTTATTTGTGTTAAAAATTGAATTATAATAAATTTCAATGATCTTCAAGTATTAAAATTGTTTAATTGTTATTTACTATTTTAAATATACTCAAAAATATATTTTCAAGTATTACAAGTAATACATAAAAAATATATCATAAATGATACTAATATATTTTAAATGATATATGAAAAAGGTATCTTTTTATATAAGAATAAACTATGTTTTAAATTAATTTATAATCATATAGAAATTATTTTTAAATATATTTCAATACATTTTTTAACAACTTTTTAAAGTTTTAAATATGATAATTTTTATTAATATTTTATATAGGAACTATTATATTAATTGCAGGCAAAACATTTGCAAAACATTATATAACAGATCAACTTACAGTTCTTAATTTGTGGTTATTAACTTTAAAAATAATAGAGATATGAAATAATGTAAAAAATTGTTTATTTATATTGCTTTCAAGAACTTAAATTCAATAAATAGTAACATATGAAATTTTACATGTTTCAGCATAGTTGTGCTTCAAATTTTATCCAAAGAAATGTGTAAAAGTTTTAATTCCTCAGAATCTGAAATTTTAATTATTGGATAAAAATAGCAAAATAATAATTATTAACTTTTAGTATTAGTTATCCCAATACTATCTATTATAATATTAATATCTACTATGTTATAAATGACTTATGGTACTATGTATATTATGTAAGTAATATACTATAAATTTTGCGATGACTTAGAATCAACATATAACTGTCAGTCTGTGCAGTATATGATTTACATTCTTCCTTTTATCTTGCAAAAACCTGGAAATATTCAAGTTGTATATACAGAAAGCAGGAGATGAATTAAAATAAGATATAACTTAAAATATTACCATGTAAAATTAATAAATAAGTACCATGAAGTACAGCATTTTAACATGTATTATATTCGAGTTCGTACTGATCGGCTACAAATAATCCAATTAGAGTTAGATACACAATAATATTACCTGCTAAAGTCAAGTAACAGGCACTCCATTGTATCTAAAAATATAGTAAAAATGTACAACATCAATTACATTAATATATTCCTTTATATTGTATGTTCATAATAATATAGAAATACAAAACAATAATTAGACTAAAAACTATGTATAATTTAGACATACCACTGGATCATTCATTGGAGACCGTGCTAAGACAATAGGAAGACCAAAAGATGACACAACAAAACCCATAGTAATAAATATTGCCAATTCCAAACATGGATTAGGGGTATTTTCAAAATAATTTATGTTGCGACGTGCAATCATAGTTGGAATTGGTGATAATACATAAAATAATACAACAAAAAATGGCCACCATACTCTAAAAGCAATATATTATAAAAATCAATATATTTTTTACTATTATAACTTTTATTATAATAGTAATTATATGTCGATATAAATACTTACTTATTTGAGGGTAAAGCACAAGCAAGTATGATGAATGTCATACCAATAGATCCACCAAATGCCAAAAGTACTAATCTATAAAAGGATCTTTTGTTATAATTCATCTCTAAAAGATATTTTACATAAATTATATTTTAAAATACTTACCCTGTTTATTAACGAAGACCATTAACAGCATGAAACAAAATCAAAAGTAATTTATATAACTTATTATAAATAAAACTTCTATACTATAAATATTTAATTTTTCAAATTTGTCCAATGAAAACTTCGTAAAAATATATTATGATTTTAAACAAAATTATTAATAATGATTATTATTAAATAAAACTAAATAATTAATAACAATATAAAGGTAAGGTGTGAACAATAAAAAAATTTATTTAAAGACCTTGAACATATAGAACATTTTACACATCTTCTGTATAATATGTACTGATAAATACTCATTTTTACATTTTACATGTAATTTGAACTAATACATTTTATATTTTAAAAAATTAACATGTAAAAGTGTTTTTAAAATCTTCATTTCTTTGAAAATACTTTATGAAATAAACATACAAATCAAATAGTTAATACACATAACAATACATTAGTTAACAACATATAAATGTACATAAGTATTTATGGTATCCAAAAGTAATTAGTGAAAAAGAAATGAATATAAAAATAGGTATAATAAATAAATATTAAATAAAAAGTAAAATGAAATGTACGTATATGTAATTAAAATAAGTTATAAACATACGATGCTTATAGATAAAAATTTGACAGTAATGACAATAAAAGTAGTAAGGTTATGTTTGGACATATCATTTTTTAATTCAGCTTTCTCATTAAACTCTCATCAGCAATATTTATATTCTTTGATTTTGTAATAAAAGCATATGTATTTATATTATCAAAAATATGTCAAATAACCTTTAATTCCAACCATCATAGACCGATTTGACAAGTATATTTATCGTATTCTCACTTTGAGAATGTTGTGACGTAAGCTATCTAAAGCCTAACACACTTTTAAAACTAAATACTAGTAGATTATTTAATGAATATAGCATAAATTTAAAAACAGAAAATAATCATCATTTTTTAAGAATATCTATATTTATCACAAATATTACATTCCATTTAATATATCTCGAGTTAATAAATATCTAGTAATACTGATGTATTCAAAAATTTGGCATTCAAATTTTAAAAAAAGTAAAAATTATATTATAAATCATAAAAATTTATAAATTCATTATTGACAGTAGTTTAAGTTTTCAGTAATTAGTAGAGTCTATAAGAATAGAAGTACGTGACGTAAAGTCGAGTTTATTGAAAATTTGCCTTTAGCTTTTGATTCGACAACGGGGGAATCCAATGCAAGCCATGGAAGTTCAAATGAGAATGTTCATTGGATCGGCTATAGGTGTTGCTGACTTGTACGTGTTGCGATACTGAGTTCTGATCGTTGCTTGTGCATTTTCTTTTGCGTTGAAGTCAAGTGAATAATGGGCGAACCAAAAAGGTAAGTCAATTTAATAGAAAAAATGTTTAATTAGGTAATATTTACAACGATTTAATACTAATACTTAAAAATTGAAACGTGAAGTATGCAAATAAAATGCATCCATGCTGGCTTCCAATTTTACGTTGTCATCATGTCGACGCAACGCGTCTTTTTATAGATTCTTATGAAAATAAATAAGATTTATTGAATTTTATGCTGTAAAAAATAATTATTGTTTATAAACTATTATTTTTATAAGGTAACAACTTGTAATGATACAAATTACACTTATCATTTTTGCGTGCCGATTGTTCATGGCCAAATACTACACTGAACGTGACAAAGGAATTTTGCTGATATTGATATTTATTTTTTATTATGACATTAGTTAATTTTATAAAATATTTTTAGTAAAAATAGAAATTCAGCAATTTTATTTTTATTTCGATATAATTGTAGTATAAAGCCATGTGCGAAAATTGTATGTTTAGTTTTAAAAGAATAATTACATTAATTTGTATTATTTGATAACAATAATTGATATGAGTAAATAAGTATATTTTGTACAATCATTATATAATTTTATTTACAATAAGTACAATCGAATAATTTGCAAAATTATTTTTTATGGGTTAAATAAATATGCAATTTGTATATTTTAAATACTTATTATTTATTTGGTAAAAATAGAAATTGAGATTATCAGAAATAACATTTATATGAACATTTAAATATTATTATATTATTTTATGATACAAAAGTATTATTTTATTTGAACAATGTTAAATGTTAGATGAACTGGATTTCTAAAAAAAAAATTAGTTTTAGATAAATTTAATATCTTTGATTTTTGATATAACTCTGATATTAATATAATTACATTGTTAATAATATAATAATATTTGATATATCTGAATTGTTAATAATTTCATCGAAGTATATATGTACTTATATAATAAAAATGTTAATAGTTTAATGCAATTAATTTTTGAAATAAAAAATAACTTTTCAATTAAAATATTTTATATTATTAAATAATAAATACATGTACCTGATATTATCGAGTTCTAAAGATATAATAATAATTATTATTATTATTATATCATAATTATTTATCATAAAATATTATTGGTATAAAATATGTTATAAAAGAATTTTTATTAAAGAAGCTATTGTTGTTGAGAACTAAAGTAAATAAGATAGTAAAATTATATTAAATATAACCCAGAATATAATTATAAATTTAGATAATGTTTTTATTTATCTGCATGTATTGTTACTTTGTTTATATTAATTAAACCTATTGTGTTATAACAGTGAAAATTTAGCAACTGCAATCCTTCGAAAGAAGGATAAGCCAAATAGATTATTAGTGGATGAAGCTATTGCGGATGACAATTCTGTTGTGGCTTTGTCCCAAGCAAAAATGGATGAACTACAACTTTTCCGAGGAGATACTGTATTGTTGAAAGGAAAAAGACGTAAAGAAAGTGTTTGCATTGTACTTTCTGATGATGCCTGCCCTGATGAAAAAATTCGCATGAACCGTGTTATAAGAAATAATTTGCGTGTACGTTTGAGTGATATTGTATCTGTACAAGCATGTCCAGAAGTTAAATATGGAAAACGCATTCATGTACTACCAATGGATGATACAATAACTGGTCTTACAGGGTAAAATCAATAGTTTGTAAAAAAATAAGATAACTAATAATTATTTACCTTTCTTTTAAACAAAATTTGTATTGTTTTAATTTTAATTTTGACTTATGTATTTAGTAATATTTCTTTAGCTTTCAATTATTATATTTATACGTACACGCGTACACATACACACACATCTTTTTAATTAATATTTGAAGTTTATAAAATAAGTATAAATTATAATAACGAATTTAAAGCAATATTTTTATAAATTTAAAATGAAAATAAAAGTACATATACTGTGGTACTTGATATTGCATGATATTTGTAAAAAGTATTAAATAGAACATATTCAGTGAAATAGATTATAGAATAATATATATTGTTGAATTGAAAAAATTAGACAATGAGATATATTTAAACATTTTGATTGATGTATTTCATTTATCTTACTTATTTATTTGAACCATTATTTTATTGATACACTTTTTTGAAGATCATGCAAAAAATTATTAAATGTAAGTACTTTTTATGTGTCATTTAGAGATTAAAATTAATTTATAATACTTACAAAAAAAAGGTTAATAATGGATTATATATTTAAAGTTTGAAAAAATTAATATCTAGAGAATGCAATGTTTTTGAAATTGCTATTTTATCTCTAATGAAGATTAAAGAACATAAAAAATAATAGATGCGTGAAATAAATTTCTTTACCAATTTAAAGATAATAGAAGTAAAAATATGGACATAGCAATCATGTGTATATTATAAGGAATATAATTTAATAATATACAATATAAAATATATATAGGAGATGTAGTTTTATAATGTATAACATAAATGCAATGCAATATTCTGATTCATTTATTAGATATTTATACTTTTTATATAATAAATACTTAGCTCTAAATATTTAAGTATTTTTTTTATAAATGTTGCAAAGTATACCATTTTATTTTCATTTTAAATTGATATATATCATTATTAAAATTCTTGAAAAGTTACTATTTTATAACATAAAATACATGACAGACCAACAACAGTACAAATACATCTAATATATTTAGGTAGTTATAAGACTATTATTATGACTATTATTCTAAATAAAATACATAATTTGTAATGTGTTCTGTGTACATACAAATATGAAAAGATAATTTGCATTATCAAAATTTACTATTATTTTATTATTTTTTAATAATTTATTAATTATTAATTATTATTTTTCTTTAAGTATACATAAAGATTATTTATAAAATAATTTACTTTTTGTTATAGAAACTTATTTGAAGTATATTTGAAACCATATTTCCTTGAAGCTTATCGCCCTGTTCATAAAGATGACACTTTTATTGTACGTGGTGGTATGCGTGTTGTGGAATTTAAAGTAGTAGAAACAGATCCTGGACCATTTTGTATTGTAGCTCCTGATACAATTATTCATTGTGATGGTGATCCTATTAAGAGGGAGGTTAGTTAGGTATAATTTTTCAATAACTATTTATTTGTTCTGTATTGTAATACCAATATATAAAAACATTGTAGGAAGAGGAAGAAGCATTAAATGCTGTAGGTTATGATGATATTGGTGGTGTTCGTAAACAATTAGCTCAAATTAAAGAAATGGTAGAATTACCTTTAAGGCATCCGTCTTTGTTTAAAGTTATTGGAGTTAAGCCACCTCGTGGTATTCTATTATATGGCCCACCAGGCACAGGAAAAACTCTTATTGCTCGTGCTGTTGCAAATGAAACAGGAGCATTTTTCTTTCTTATTAATGGTATGTTAATTTTAAGAATTTTTTTGTTTTTTCTACTGTAAAGTGTTGCTCAATCTGTTATATTAAAAGGTCCGGAGATTATGAGTAAACTTGCGGGAGAATCGGAAAGTAATTTAAGAAAAGCATTTGAAGAAGCAGAGAAGAATTCACCAGCCATAATTTTCATCGATGAGCTTGACGCTATTGCTCCAAAACGAGAAAAGGTTTGTATTATTTTAGTTTTTCAATTTACAAATTAGTTGTATGATTTATATTATATTTTAAATATAATATTATTAAATATAGACTCATGGAGAAGTAGAAAGACGTATAGTATCTCAGCTGTTAACTTTAATGGATGGTATGAAGCAAAGTTCTCATGTTATTGTAATGGCTGCTACCAATCGACCTAACAGCATTGATCCAGCATTACGTCGGTTTGGACGTTTTGATAAAGAGATTGATATTGGAATACCTGATGCTACGGGTCGTTTAGAAATTTTACGAATTCATACAAAAAATATGAAGCTTGCAGATGATGTTGAATTAGAAGAGGTTTATATAATTAAGTTTGAAGTTGTCAAATTGTTAATTTTAATAATATTTGCAGAATTAATCGAATCATTTAGATTGCAGCAGAGACACATGGACATGTAGGAGCTGACTTAGCTGCATTGTGCTCTGAAGCAGCATTACAACAAATTCGTGAAAAAATGGATCTCATTGACTTGGAAGAAGAACACATAGATGCTGAAGTTTTATCTTCTCTTGCTGTCACTATGGATAATTTCAAAGTACATAATTTATATATATTAAGCTTTAAATTAATATTATAAATAATATGAATAATCTCATATTTGTAATTTAGTATGCTATGACTAAGAGTAGTCCCAGTGCTTTGCGAGAGACTATTGTAGAAGTTCCAACTGTTACGTGGGATGATATTGGAGGTTTACTAAATGTTAAAATGGAATTGCAAGAGTTGGTACAGGTAAGAAAGTTGTTAGGTAGTTACTAAGTAAATACTATATTAAATTTTCCTTATTTTATAGTATCCAGTTGAACATCCAGATAAATTTTTGAAATTT